ACCTGTTTGAGAAAATGTAAATTGATGATATGCAAAAATCTTGTTTTGTTTGTGTTCATAATCATTCTTTTATTGTTCAAGTGATCAAAACAATTTATTCAAGCTGGTGGAAAAGTTTTAACACAAGTAAAAAACCAAGATATTAAACAATTTATCCATGAAGAAAGTCTGAGATATTAAACAACACAGCAACTTCCATACACACCATAAATCTTATGCTACAGATTTCTACACATAACAAGCTCTGATCTTGACAAACATTATTACACACAAAAAAAAGGTAAGAATCTAAAGCTAACATTTTCAAGAATCTTCTGTGTCGCTTGTGCTACCACGGGTATCGATATAAACCTCTGTCGATAGATCGATTTCATCCACGATCCTTCCTCTGAAAAGAAAAGGATTGCAATAAACCCGAGTTTATGCCTCAAGGCTGAAACCGTGGACCAGAGAACTTTAGAAGATAGGATGTTTACCTTTCCAGAACAAATTTGCCTTCTTTATACTTCTGAGCTTTCTCGTGAGCCGATTCCTGCAAACAAGAAAGCAATAATGTATAATGAGGAACCGCTCCCAAGAAACGCGGTAGTGAGACTGAAGAGAGAGAGCGGATTGGTGAGATTACATATTTCCAGCCAACATTCTGTCCGCAACAGCAGCAGAAAATATCAGCTACGGTGTGCATACCCGAAAGCATCATCCTTTCCTCTAGAGGACCCATACTTATGTTCACCCTGAAATTCAAATTCAGCAATGGAATCAGCTCTATGTATATCCACTCTGAATGCAAAAAAAAAAAATGAATTAGAGAAGTAAGAAAAGCGTATCGATGCAGAGAGATTGGAAACATAGGCATGAAAAAGAATAGTTTTGAGTACTCAGCAAGCTAAAAGGCAGTATCATCTACAAGTTTTTTTGTATTGCATATACATTTAGCCAATAGTACTTGGCGATTTGTTGCGGTGTTGCTTATACAGAAACAATCGTCTAGTTAGCTAGGCGAGGGAAATTTTCTAGTGCTTGACAGTGAAGAAACAGAACAAATTCCATAAACACATTACACATCAAGGAAGTTTACACTTACGAACGATTGAAGAGGTAAGCCTTTCCTCTGCGACAATGGAACGACTGCGAAAAAAACAAAAAAAGTCAGAATAAGGTATACACTCTCGATTGAATTAGATTTAAAAGAAAACAAATATCAAATTGACCAAAGCTAAACAAACATTATTATACCATAAGCTAAAATTGCCTCAATTTCTCATATTCCAATGATAAATCTTAATTCAATGATGCAAGGTTTAAGCAGAAGTAAGTCCAAGTATAAATCCAGGTTAACGTAAAAGTTTTTTCCAGCTACGTTAATTCTCCAATCTTTATAGCTCAAAACCCATAAGGAAAAACACTCAACTTGAGAATTTTTTATATCAGTAACTAAACTATCATAGATTTGTATTTGTAATATACATCAATTCCAAAATAGTAACAACCTCAGAGAGATGTTGAGAAAGATGAGAACTTGGAAACATGTATAGTTTAAAAAGAGGAGGAATTAAGTACCCGAGAAACAAGATCATCGGGAAGAGCTAGATGGGTTCTGCAAAACCTGCATCTGTAAGATCTTCCCTCGAGCTCCACCGTAAATATCCTTCCCATTC